AACCTCTTCCTCATGTCCAGCCTGAATCTGCCCACTTCCAGCTTTGCCCCATTCCCCCCAGTCCAGTCATTACTCGAGATCCTAAAAAGTCCCTCCCCAGCTTTCTTGTAGGCCCCCCTAAGATACTGGAAGGCCACAATAAGGTCACCTCGGATTTATTATCACTATTATTACTAGTGGTAGTAATGAAACTGTTTTTCTAATCAGCAAGTCTCTTTCTCTTATTCCCTTTCTCTTCCCCTTTTGGGGGCAGGAGGAGGGGGTTAACAGAGAGCATCTGTTACAGTTCTGGGGGCTGCCCTGACCCCAAACCACGGCAGTTACATAAACGAAATGTATTATTCCAGAGGTGGTTTTGTTTGTGGGTTCGGTTTGTTCGGCGTTTTATTTGTGGTTTTTGTTTGTTTCTTTTTTTTGTTTTTTTGTTCTTTTTTTGTTGTTGTTGTTTTTCTTTTTCTTTTCGTTTTTAATTTTGAAAATTCATGAAGATGTTGTGGAAAGCTGTTACATAGGGAGCCTGACAGCAGCAAGGAATTCACATCTGAGGAATGATTTCCACTCGTTCCATTCCTCAGGAAGTAACACTAACTCTGAAGTCAAACAGCCTTCTAGCTTAGCTGCCTTCATTCATGATAGAGAGGAATCTTACGGACTGTCAAACATGAATACAAAACAAAAAAAAAGCCCATCTACACTGGTCTTTAACTCCTCTCAAAGTCTGATTAAAAAAATCACAGGGACCTTAGAATGTACACAATTAGTAGCGAGTAATTATATCAGATTATATGAAGACATCACTCTAGATAAAATACAATGGATGTGATAAAGTTAAAAAAAAAAAAGACATCTAATAAGAATAATAACCCTGATTCCCTGTGTCCTGGTTTGGAGTAGAACAGAACTAATTCTGTTCAGCGATTTTACTTTTCAGCTAAAGCTCTTCTAATTAACTGCACTTTCTGAAGTTAACAGCAGATTTTTGCAGACAGTTTCTGCTTCTAGCAGTGATAATGCTCTGTGTTTAGAGTTTCTACCAAGGACTGGTGTGCAGACCAAGGTCACTGCTAAATCCTGTGTATCACACTGAGGGGGGCAGAAAGTAATATCTGCATCTGCAGGGAGGAGCAGACAAGACAAGTGACCCTAAAATTGGCCCATGGGGTATTCCATCCCATATCCCTTATATTCAGTAAAAAAGCTGAAGGATCACAAGCAGCAAGCCCTTCCACCTTCTTCTTCCCTTTTGCTGCTCCTGCAATGCCCGGCATGCGAGGAGGACTCCATCCATCCTGCCTTTAATCCCAAGTCCTGTGCTCCTGAATCCAGAATCCAGCTCCTGGACTCAGCTGCTGTCTGTGGCTGAGTCCAGTCTGTGACTTTTCCCCAGAGCTGCTCCCCAGCATTGCGGGGGGACAGTGATGTACTGCCATCAGGGGAGAGTTGGCTTTGATACTGGTTTTGTATACATTTGTACATATTCCATTTTATTATTATTATTACTATTATTAGTAGTAGTATTTCATTAAAGCTGTTTTACTTTTCTAATCAATAAGTCTCTTTCCGTCATTCCCTTTCTCTTCCCCTTTGAGGGGTAGAGGGGTTAACAGAGAGCATCTGATACAGGTCTAGAGGAAGCCCTGAAATTCAGATTCTGCTACATAGAGTTAAAAGTATCCTAAAAAAATCAACATTCCTAGAAGTGCATTTGGAAAGTGTGTAGGAAGTGGACAGAGTGGAAATCAAGCACATGTCACTGTCTCATTTCTTCCATGGTACTACACTTGCATGAGACAAAGACAGAATATTTTGAGGCTGAACTTTGTAAACTAGTTCAAAGTTTTTATTTTTGTAGACTAAAATAAAAAAAATAAGTCAGATGGTTTCTTTTTGACTGAAGATACTTCAGTGCTGCAGACTCCATTAATACGCAGTGTAAATATGGAAGTTGGAAAATAGTACTTTGCCCCAAAATAAGCTTACAGGGTGATCTGGATTTTAAGTGTAGTTCAAACTCTTCACTTGACTCTTTATAGATTTATAGGAACAAGCTATACTTAAACTGTTTTATTGCACAGAAGATAAAGTAAAATTAAATTTAGAACATAAACCCATGCAAAAACTAATGTGTTTTACTAAGTACTTAAAGTGTCAACTATAAATGAAATCATAAATCAGTAAAAACTGCAACATCCAGAAAGAAAAACAACTACCAATATGTGTTCGCCCTTTAGTCAAAAAATAATTACTGCCAAATGCTTCAAAAGTTATGGGGACTTTTTATTTGTGGGTTTTTTGTTTATTTTGTTTTTAGAGAAGTGCAACCCCAATATAACTTGTTAACCTGTTATGTGCTTATAGAAAGTGCATTTTCAATGTTAAAAATCACATTCCATGTGTAACATAAGTGTATATAGTATAATTTTATGTCAGAATTCTTGGAAGATTTCACTCAGTTTGCTCTTTACTCACTTTACTTGTAGTAAACATTTACACAGCAGGTACACAAGTCTTTCAAAGTGCTCACAAGCATTTTTTAAAAAACTATGGAAAGTCTATAGTTACAACGTGATAAAATTTTTAAGTAGATTTTCTAGACAGCAAATTAATGGAGCTTCTCACAGGAAATTTTTTTACTGCAACATTCTAAGGAAGCTCAGTAGACTTAAACACCAAAGCAGACAAATTTTACTTAGAAAAATGTTTTTCTTCACACATTTCTGACATAGGGATTCACCCTGTTCCCCTCAGCCAATCTAGATCTTGACAGAGGTAATTCAACTTATATTACCTGTGGTTCTTTGATATTTACTGTTCACATATATTCCAATCAAGACACCAGGTCCCCTGTGCAGATGGCCTGTACTGTTCATTGACAGCCAACCATACCTGAGCTCCATCCTTCAACTTACAGCGCTACAGGGAAGGAGCCTTAAAGCCTCACAAACATAAATGAAGAATTTAAGAATTAACAGGGAGGAAAACATGCTACGGGGCACATATGCAAAATACCTAATTTAAGAATGTGTGTTATTGCAAAATAGACAACTATCTCGTCTTATTTTTGTTAATTTATTCCAGCAGTGACGATGCATCTGATCTAAACTACTGCAAGGTTTCTAATTAAAGGCAGCAAGTTAGCTCTCACCAGAGAAACAGTTCTTGATGTTCCTGCAGCAGCAAACACTGCAGTGTTAAATACTGGCTTGTCTACCCATTTCTACTGTGTGTACATCACTTAAATTATAATTCATAAGCACCCCTGCAGGACTGGATGGTCATTGCTTTCAAACGCCTAGATATGCAAAAGCCAATCCAACATAGCTAGTAAGGGCAAGGAAAAATTTGGATCAATACACATTGACCTTCTGTTGCTTAGACATTGAATGCAAGTGGCCTAGCTTGAAGTAATACTTCTACAGGTGCAGAAGTCCTCCTAACTTTCTGCTTTTCTAGAATCTGTGATTTCAGCTGAAAGCTTTTGAGTCACTAGGAGAAGATGACAGTGCAACTAGCCCAAAAAACCCCATTATCGATCCTTTTAAAAATCATGCTGGATCCAAGAGATTTGAGTTGCATATTAATAAAATGTAGTACTGTAGGAGCGAATAAAAAGAAAAGCCCATGTATCCAGAACTAGAGGACCTTTAATCAAGATGGAGATTATATACAGATTATTAGGAAACACTGTTAGTCCAGACTAGTTATAGGTGATCTACTGCATTTAATCAGCATGTGAAAGTCATTAGGAACCTATAAAGTAATTTCTGATTTTAGCAAGTATATAGCTCTAGTAATGTATGCTATCAGAAATATTTGTCTTCTCTCACAAAAAATCTTTGCAAATTTAGCCTTTTATCTGAAATACATGCTAGAACTCCAGTGCCACAGTTAAATAGCAGGTGCCACTAATATAGGGTTTACCAGTACCACAGCTATTAGCTTTGTGAAATGTAGTGCTGTCTGACAAATACCAGACAGTTCATTGAATCATAGAATGTCTGGGCTGGAAGGGATCTCCAAAGGTCATCTAGTCCAACACCCCCACCATAAGCAGGGACATCTCCAACTAGATCAAGCTACTCAGAGCTTCATCCAGCCTGATCTTGAATGTCTCCAGGGATGGGGCCTCCACCACCTGTCTGGGCAACCTATTCCAGTGGTCTATCACCCTCATATTGAAGAACTTTGTCCTTATGTCTAACCTAAATCTACCCTTTTCCATCTTAAAGCCATTATAGTTCTTCAGGATCTGAAGAGAAACGATAACATAAAGGAGGGAAACTTATTTGTGTTTTATGGGAGCTATCCAATAGTAATTTCTAAACTTTAATCAAAGCAGATATAATTTATAAGGTTCCTATAAAGGTGGTATTTGTTTCTCAGAGATTAAAAGTACTCGCCTATCACTATGTGAAAAGAAATAGAACTAATGCAAAATACTTTTCTCTCACTCAAGAAAAGTGTTGGGCTTGTTTTGACTGACCAAAAATTTTAAAATATTTGACAATATTATTTTTAAGTTAAGAACTTATTTCATGTTTTTAGATTGTTGTAAATATTTTTTTCATTTCCTTGACATATTAGTAGATTCAGATTTCAGTCCAATTTAATAACTGCATTAACATTACATGTCTGTTGCAAGATAATGATTAGTCATAACTTAAAATACTGTCAAGATATATTAAACTAGTATAGTCTTTTAAATATAAAGTAGTCTTAGCATTTTCCTTATCTTAAGATTTTGTTACAACAAGTCATGAAAATTATCTGTTTAGAGGAACATATCTCTAAAGGTCTCAAGTTCACAGTAAGCTTTCTCTTCTTTAACAGTCCAAGCATACTGTATTTGTCACATGTGGATCCTGTCCCATTAATCTGGTAAAGGTAGATACCCCACTATCAATCTATTTGACCATTTCAAACTGGCCACAATGCACAATCTAAAATTCTACTGGAACCACAAACTCATCACATAAACAATCTGAATTACCAAAACATACCCGTTTTTTCCGATGTTCTGAGAAACACCATGTCAGATGGGATTCGTTGATTCTGAAGGGAAAAAACAGTATTTTTTTTGGTAAGTAGGGGGGAAAAAAAAAAAGTGAATTCCAATCAAATGTCCAGTAAGATCTATCACCAAAAGGTCACACTTGGATTGAAACTCAATTAAAATAGGATTTCTCACAGTGCTTTACATTCAGCATTTGCAATTCAGAAATCAATATTTTCAAAAAATTATACAATAAGCAAACAACAGCTAATCCTTTCAGGTGCTCTTTATAAGTGAATCATAAATACCTGAAGAACTAAGACAGATTTACATTTTCTTTTCTGATAACAGCATTTTAAGAATATAAATATCTAACTGAAATATTTTAAAAACCAAGTTCACTGAGCAAAACTCTGAAACTCAGTTAGCATAGGTAATAGAAAAAACAGTGATATTTAAAACATCTGCCTTGGCACTCAGGTTGCAGGCATTACCTATACCAAGCATTCTCTTCTCTCCCAACACACAAGCACAGAGGACACAGCAAGTCAGGAAACAGCATTTTCCCATTTCACATATCTATAAACCTTTCCTTTACAAAGACAAAAACAAATAGAATTTCTTCCTCTTCTCTAAGGCATCAAGCCTTACGTACCTGTTCTGCCATTTCCTTTTGAAGCACAGAACTATCCGTATCAATTCATGTTCTCTATTTTCTTTTTCTTTTTTTTTTTTTTTTGTGGACCACAGAAAAGCCAATCTGAGCTTTGACAGATAAACAAGAATGAGCAATACTGATGAACAATGCTCCCACACACATGCTATCTGCTACATGACAATCCAAACCCTTAGCTGTCCCACCACTTGTTCACAAGGCATCTACCAGCACCAGGTACACAGGGTTTAAGAATGAAAAACTGAGTGAAGTAAAAATAACCGACATGTCAAAACCTGACAGAGACAGAGGACTGAAAAGGAAAAAAGTGACAGGCTAAGCTAACAGGGACCAGAGTGAAAAGTGGACAGAGCAATGAGAAACGATATCATACTGAACTGCTGTTTCCTCCATCACAACTTCTGTCCAGTGTGCCACATGCTGTACTGTTTGATACTGAAGCTAAACACAGAGATTCATTTGCAGACTGCCTTTAACCAATTAAAAAATCTCAGTGGCTTATTAGAAATGGTTTTACTAGTTTAATGCTAAAAATATTTCCTACTATTAATTTCAGATTACTTGTTAAGAGTATACATTTTTCAAATTGAAAGTACCTCCATTTGAGAATAAATTTCTGGTTTTCCTGTTATACTTGGTTGATATAGCTTTGAAAGCCACTACATACCTAAGGCTCATCTTTTATTTTTTTAAGAGCTCAACTGTCTGAGTGGAAGAGAAAATACATGTAGCTGACAAAGCCCTTCACATGGCATACATACAAGAATCTCAGATTTCAGCCTTACAAACCTGAGTTTACTCAACATAAAAGTTAAGAAACATGTTCAGTACATGAGCATTTCAACTACACATCACTACACAGTTGTTCTCTATTTCACACTTCAATTAAAATCAAACTGCAAAAATAATACAGCAATAGTAATTCAGGTGTGGCTCTATTTTGTACATTAAACTATCAGCTACAGAAAGCTGATTAGTTGTTTTATACAGCAATGAAGCTGGGGTCAAGCTAACCTGGAAACTTCGAGACATTAAGCAATGGAATATCTCACATACTGAAGGCAGGATGTAGAATCCTGCCTGTAAATTTGACAAGGATCCTAAGTCACAATACTTTGGTTCACCACATCAAAGTGGAAGATAAAAATTCTGTGGATTATTAGAAAGACGTAACTACGAAATAAAAACGTAATGGGCTCAAAATTGTCTTTGCATGAAATTCAAGTGTATTCAGGATGTAGCAGCTCTGAATGTATTTATCCCAAGAGGAATGTAGGCAATAGCACAGATCACAGTATCGGCAAGCACATCCAAAAACTCCTCCAAGAATCAACATAAATACATAGGGGGGTTTTGTTAGTCAAGCCAATCCTCCATCTCTACATTTGAGGACATAACACTGCTATGAACAAAAAGAAACCCAGCATTCTCAAACTGGTTTGATTTGAAACCAGAGACATAGTTTCTCATTTTTAACTCTCCACATTTCACTTTTTTTGCAGGCAATTCCCCTTCATCGCTGCATGTCAAAAGAAAAATCTTAGCAGTACCTACGCTTGTAGTCCCCTCGAAAAAAATACAGCTCAAAATACATGTGTCAAGATAATTAAACACTGTTGACACTTAGTGTGTGGGACTCTCAAAATACTATGCCTGACTATCCATAAAAATCAGTTCAGAGTGAAAAAATTCAGCCTCATCCATAATGGAAAATCACTGTGTACTTACACCACACACACCACTGAAGAAGCTGATGCTTTTTTCCATATATACTGCTGTACTCTAACATTTGCCTTAGCTCTTGAGAAGCCACACTCCTATAGCAATATTCTTTCTGGCCACAGAAATTATTACTCCTGACCACCTTGACGCTATAGATAAAGTTTTTCATTACTTCAAAGAAACCTTCCTGAGATCAGCTACAGCCCAAACAGTGCCATCTGGAATTGTGTGATCTGAACAGAACTGCCAAAAGTCAACTGCCAGATTCTGAGCTGTATGGGCTCAGCTTTCAAAATAAGATGATGTAAACTCTCAAAGTCTCTGGGAGGCAAGTGTCCCTTGCCACTCCCTCTTACTTATTCTCAAGGACAGTGATTCAGAAGTGGAATTTGAAGCAACTCAACTCTGTTCTCTGTTGATGGGAACTTCAGTACACATGGGCCATGAAGGGCTACAGAAATGGTACTATCTCAAGCCAACAACGTGCCTGAAAAACAAGCAAGTTTGGACACACCAGACAACAGATGTTTTTTTCTGGTTTACATAAAAATCCTACAGGGTTAGCAAAACCCCCTCCTCACACTTTAAAATTATATATCTTCATGCATGGATACTTCCTAATTTGCATCAATTTCCATTTATTTTTAGATGCACAAAGAGTTAAAAATCCATGTGCTTGTCTGTATGTCAACAGTATTCACCTTGAAGGGGCTGCTCACCTGCAGCTGCACCTACTGCATCACTTTATAGAATCTTGCCACATAAAAAATAATTAAACATGTAGTGAAATTTATTATCCTCCATGAGCCCAGATTCAACAAGGAGTCTCTCATTCAAATTTTGAAAAAAAAAAAAGCAGTAAAAACATTAACCTTAATATACATTATTATACACCTATTAGAGGAAAGAAAAGAGGGAGGAAAGGGAAAATGCAACTTCAGAATTAAATAAATCTTTCCTTAAATGACAATAACAATTAAACAGATATCCAGTCTTTGTATAGATTAGCTATACATTTTTGCAGCTTCCCTGCCAACTCTGATATAAATCCATTATACAAGTTTCAGACTACTGGCTTCATACCTACAAACTTGAAGTTACTTGTAAATAAGGTAAAACATTTGACCAATACCCAAAAATTTTGCAGAAAGTACAGTCAAATGATCTATTACCAAATTAAACAGAAGTTCTAAAAAAGCAAATGAGGTATCAGGTTTTTACAAGTCATTACTAATTGCCACAAAGAATGCATGTTTCACAGTCAGTAAATGAAACGTTCACTCAGTACTTGCTATCCACGATTCAAGTCTTTATGCCTGACAAGACTGGGCACAGTCTCAGAGTATCTCCACTTGGAAGGGACTCCTAAGGATCAAGTCCAACTCCCTGTTCCTCACAGGACTACCCAAAATTAGCCCATTTGTTGAAAAGCATAATCCAGACACTCCTTGAACTCTCACAGGTTTGGTGCTATGACTGCTTCCCTGAGGAGCCTGTTCCAATGACTGACCACCCTCCCAGTGAAGAACCTTTTCCGAGCGTCCAACCTGAACTTCCCTTGATGCAGCTTCATTCCTTTTCCTTGTGACCTTCTGCTGGTCACCAGACAGAGGAGATCAGCACCTTCCACCTGCTGCTCCCCTCAGGGAAGTTGTCGACTGCAATCCAATTAGGCATGTGAAGAATTTCACATTTTAACAGAAAAAAAAACGCATCTTGACTTTACGTCTTTTTAATCTGCTCTCTCTGCTTGTTTTTCTTTCCTGTAATCTTTTCCGCATTAACATATCTGAAAGGCTCTTTCCATGTAGGGAAGACTAGAGATGGTTTTGTCTTTACTTTCTCCCTCAGAAAAAAAAAAATGCCCCAATAGTATTTAAGATTGACATTTCATTTTTTTATCGGGTTCTCCATACTGTGGAACTGAGCAGGAAGGTACTGCAGGAGTCCTGCGTACCAGAAAACATTGTCACTATTACTGCTGACACTGCAGAGCAAAGATCCCCCTGCAAAGATGCACCTAGTTACTATAAAAGAGTGACTACACAGAAACAGATGGCAATTATGCTACAAAAGTCTTTAACTCCTCATTATGGAAAAAATTAAGTTCTGTTGTACATTGTCCCAGACAAAGAGCAGCAATATGTCAATCATGTTAGCCCTCTCATGTCATATTTATCAAAGTAGAACAAGCTAAAATGGCAACAAATACAACTTCAAGCATTCAGAAAGCCATGAAGAAACCACGTAATCTCAATTACCATGGAGATTAAATTAGAAATGTTTATTGATATATACTGAAGTTTGAATATATTAGTCATGAAAATTACTTGAATACATTGTTTTGCTTAAGTCTGGGCAGAATTGGAGCTTCAGAAAAGGATGGCTTCCATTTCTCTTGGTGTTTGTCTATGCTGCAGACTTACAGATTCATTCCTACAGATCTAACCATGGCAAGACAATGATCAACACAAAAAAAAGTACTTCCCTATCTTCCGGGTTCCATGGCTAACTCCATGCCACCCAGGAATATGAGCCAGACTGGAAAACAAGAAAACCTAAAAACACACCTATACTTCCCTACAACACAAGCTACAATATTCAACTGAAAAATACTATTGCTAATAGCTTTCTAATTATTTCTTCATTTTTCTCATGTTATCATAATGAAACTGTTATTTACATAAACGTCTCCAACTCCCTAGTCAGTCTCCCAAGTCTCCTACAACTGCCCATAGCTACAGACCCTCAGAATTTTGCATTTACTGTCCTTTTTGATCCACTCATGTAATGAATCACATACTTTTCTTACTGACTAAGATATTCCTGCTTGCTACCAAGATAAAGATAAAAATGGAAAAAGCACTGCCCAGTTGCCTTCTTGCATTTGCATGCTGCCTAATACTGGACACTACCATTAACTGCAATCCTTTCAAATACTGCATTAATTTCACTTTACACCTGAGACGAAGAAAAAACAATTGTCCCTTTACAGCTCCAAGGAAAGCTCTCAGCTTTAAGATAAAGCATTACTGTTCCACATTTTAAATCACTACTGTGTTATTAGATGTTGAAGTAAATGTCTTATTATTAGTTATTAACTAAATTTTAGTAAGTTTATGCCCTCTTCATATCTGCAAAATACATTCCAAAGTGTCAATAAGCTACAGTGTCTAAATAACAATATCAGAACTCATCAAGTCATACCTTAAATTGTCTTTAGGACCACTATGCACACCTCTGCTCCCACTGGAAACTAAAGATCAATCTTAGCACAAGCCAAAGAGAAGATCCAGGAAACAGTATGTCTGAGGCAGGGGACCATTTTTCAGCTAACATATATGAATGTCTTTTAGCTTTTACAAACAATGTTTTTTTCTATTCAGGCCTCTTCCTGCCCTAGTATTAGGGCTTTACAAAATTTTCAGTTGAAGCAATAAATATATTACTTGGAACTAAACTGTTTTAAGCACATTGCAGTTGCTGCTTTGAATTAATCAGGCCTACTTAAAACAGAAAGACAATAATCAGAGGATATTCAAAGTTTAAATATAGAAAAACCTTTCACTTAAGTTGTTAGTATTTGCGATGCAGTCACTAGTTAACATATGGATCTTCAGCTCAAATAAGTCATTAATTTCACTGCAGAAATGCTGTTGATGCATCTTCCAGTCAAATACAATGTTAACTTGTTCCTTTGTCATTAGAGTAAGCAATTGAACATTTCACTCCCCACTGCTTCTTTGGCTTAAGAGTCATACTCTGAAACTGAAAATTGCTTGCTCCAACAAAAAGCACTTCTGAACAGAACCACAAAACATTTAATTTCATTAGTCTGAAGGCATCCCCAGCCAGGCCAAAAGGAAAAAAGCTCTGCTGGGACAGGGGGAAGCTTGAAGCTGAAGTACAACATTTGAACCATTATATGCGTCTTACTGAGACGCTCCAGTAAAATCCTCACCAACAAGAACTCTAATCAGTATTTTCCTAAATCCTTAAACACTACGCTTTTCATTAGAAACTTCAGGTACTCATCACGTATGAATTGTAATCTGCTGCAAATAATGCTGATAATGACCTAGTGCATACAAGACAGACTGACCCCCAAAGCAACTTCATTTTTCCAAATTATAGCATAATTCAATAGACTGATGTAGGTCAGTAAATTCCAGAGGAGGCAGATTAGTAGTCACTAGAGTTTTTCCTGCACTCTAGAATAATGAGTTCCAGCTTCAGACACTAAGAAGGCCCTAAAAAGTTTCCTAATGAAAAACAAAGCAAATATCTCATCCCCAGTCTCCTAGACAATCTGGAATAGGCACAAGTGAGTACCTGTAAGCTGACTGTACCTGCGCTCTAATATAGCAAGGTGTAAGGCAGGAGAGATGTAAAGGCCAGACAAATTAGTGCTAATCTTAACAATGCTGCTCAGACAGACCCAAAAAGCTACCAGGCACAGATGGCAGAAAAAAAAGAAAGGAAAAAAAAAAAAAAAAAACACCACAAGAAATAGTACAAACCACATGAAAACAGATATATTTTAAGCACTAAACAAAATGAGACTTGGGTGATTTGTTCCATCGACTACAGAAAGGAAGAAAAGAGAGAGGAAAGGAACAGGAGTTTTCCAAAACAAAGAGAGGGGTTCCTTATATAGAGCTCAAAAAAGATCTCTATCCACTAACAATTTATGAGTTCTCCAAATTCTCCAGGTAAAAGGAGAAGTGTTCACAAATAAGAAAGCACCAAATGTATCAGGAGGGCATATCTGTTTAAGGACTTCCTTTTTATCAGAAGTAATTTACTCAACTGGAGTAAAACCACCAAGAAGTTTAGAAAAGTCTAGTCACTGACTAGGTTCCAATTTGGGTTATTCTCCCAAGCTGCAACTTGCCATGCAACCCTCCAAACAAAGGTGCAGATATACAAGATTCAACTGGAGATGCCTCTTTCCAGCATCTCCCTGGATTAGCTCTCTAACACAAAGCCAGATGGGAATCACTTGCTGGCACCCAGAAAGTTAGTCACTTTTCCAGAATGAGCTTAAGTAAAAATAGTTCTTCCTGGCAACAAAATTAAGTTGGCTTTCGAGGTCACAATGATTACTTAGCACTTCAGAAAACCAACTGAAATATGAAACACTGTCTTTATTATAATACTAACGGAGAGGGGCAAAAAGTTCACATCTCTCACCATTTGCAATCAAAGTGGAAGGCTTTTTTTCCTTTGAAAAATACATAAACTTTTATATTATTTAATTATATGTACTACATATAATTATATTAAAACATGTTTTTTTTTAGCGTATAGACAGATATAACTTTTCCTTGAAGGCTTCAGACATAGAAAAACACCAATCTGAGCATCAGAAGAAAGGTATCAGTAATCAGACAGCTTAGAACATTCACCACAGTACAAGCCAGAGAATTTAACTTAGTAATTATACTCCCTTCACTGGATAAATTTAAGTATATACCAGTTCATGAAAGATAAATGCTTACATTCAATTAAGCTTATAATTAACCCAAAAATAGACTACTTTGAATATTCTCAATAAGCCTTGAACTAAAATACTAACTAGTTAGTACTTCACAGATAAGTATCTCAATATACTTTTCTTCAGAAGACAATTAGCATATTAACAACCTTTAGTCTCTAAAATATATTTAAAAAGTATCAACCTTTTCCACTATGATGAGGTCTCCAACTTGTATGTCTGAACTCTTAACTTGCACTTTACCTTAAAAAAAAGAAGAAATGTAATCAACTTAGGCAGACATCAATAAAGAGTCACAAGAATATAAATCCTAAAATGCAAGTTTTACTTAAGACGTTATTGTCTGGTAAAAATATTACATTTTAAACAAAATGGATTTCTGATTAACACATTAATAAGTAGATTTAATCTTCTGAATAAATAATTCACTGGTTTAAAAAGTCTAGTTTCATAACCAGTTAGCTACTGTAGAAGAATTAGAGAAAAAAATATGTACGGAAGATATTCAAGTCTAATCTATAGTATTAATAACAGTTGTAAAATTGGAAAAAGGAGTCTTTCACATCTACTAGACAGCACTTCTATTTCTGACAAGTTAGGAGTTGTTAGGCTTACAGCAACGGAGCATTCTCACACCAGAGTTGTTCGTCACAGCCCAGTTACCAACAGGTAGCTTTGCTTGGCCACTAAAGTTACTGATGTAATTAGTACTGACACTTTTTGGCAATTATAATGGAGAAGAGGTAAGTCTCTCCAAAATCAGAAGAAATGCCTCAAGATTTCATTTTAGAAAAGTAAAATCTCAAAAGCTGAAATAAAGGTTTTCCATTCTCTAAAGCTGCCCATTCAGTAACTGCTCTGAACAACTCATTCAAAAATATATACAGCACACATACCAATTTAATTTTTCTATGTTCTGCAGGGTATTAATATTTGTAAGGCTGTTAAGTTTTAATGTTCTTATCTGATGGACTGTAAAACTGAGACAGAGAGGTTAAGCTACTGCCCAAAATGAGTTATTGTTGATCTCATTAGAACTCAGGAATTCTAGTCTCAGGTCTTTGCTACAATTCCAGAAAAAAAATTTACTTCCTTGTGTTAAAAACAACCAAAACCACTTATAGACAAACAAGTAATGATACATGGATATTCTCTTCCAAGATGTAACAGGTGACAGTTTCAGAACCTGCTAACTCCCAATATAAACACATTCGTCCCTACACAACCTGAGGAGCTGACACACATGCCCGTACAAAGTAACTTTTCCCCAGAAACACTACCACGGTTCCAAGCAGCAGGCACCTGATCAGCAGGTATCTGTATGTCAAAAGATGGTAAGGTGCTAGCATTCTAAATAGAAATCAGGCTGAACAAATCAGAGCAGAAAGCCCACAAAAGCACAGGATGAGCAACAATCAGTTTGGACCTTTATCAAAAGTATTATCAATAGTAGATTTATCAATGTGCATTCTATCATCTCTCAAAAGTTATACCAAGTATAAAACAAAAACTAAACTAGGTTCCAAACCCATGAGATCTCCTCCTAACTCTCAACGAAGAAACATCAGGTAGTTAACCTCAAAAAATTCCTTACACTTAGATGTGCATTTCATCAGTGGTCGTAAGATCCATAAGTGATTATTTTCAGTACTTGCTCTTTAAAACTGCATTTAATGCAAAAGTAACTGTTTTATGCTTAATTCAGTCAATAATGTGTTCCTATAGCTAATTTTGAATACATTTGCCATGACATTAGCATTTCTAAAAATGTGCAATGTCAGAAGAATATGAAACCTTTTGTTTGAGCTGTCTGAAAAGTTATTTCTGAAATCCAGTCTTTGTTATTGATAATGACCTTTTACACCAGTTCAGTTTTTCAGTTGCCAAAATCACCTTTCCCCACCTCACATCCAAATACAAACCAAATTAGATCTTCAGTTTGTCTCCTAACTCTGGCATAACACATTTGCGAGAGTGAATGGAGGAGCAGAAGATAAAGGTACAAAATCCTGTAGCAAGAAACATTAGCCATTGTCTACAGGAGTTTCAAGATAGCTATGGAGATTTAGTGTCAATTTCTCAATTTTATTTTTTTTTTTTTAAATCTAAAGTAACTATTACTAAAGCTCAACAATCCAATACCAAATCAACACATTTATTCTGCTTGACTGCATGAGTCAGTGAATTCTCTTTATACATCCTCAAGTTTTGACCACTAGTGAATAGTATATACCAGAAAAAATATTGTAATATTTACTTTGCTTTCTAGTTTTACCAAACCAACGGCATGTCCTATTTTGTTTTCAGTTCCTCTAACAATTTTTATCAGTTTATCAGCGTGATAACCAAGTCAATCAACTGATTGTAGTAACAACCACAAAAACCCTAGTACCAGCTGCATTAAGTCTCAGATCTACACCACCTACACAGTCATTCATGTATGACCGAAACCATTCAGAGATACAAATCAAATGCAACTACTAGCAATTTCAGCAACTTAAACAATGGAATGTTCCACATTTTCTAACAGCACCTACAGTAAGTATCAAAAGACATTAAATCTCAAAGGACAAGAGAAAGTAGAACATTCATTTGCAACATAATATAGGGCAGAAAAAAACTAAGACTCCTGTTGCCAAGTATAACAATAGGAACCCACACTGCACCTTTGCTTGAACTCAGTCCAGCAATCACAAGAATTTCACATTATAAATTCAACAGTTTCCTTATCAGACTGTTTTCTAGGTGGTTAAGTATAACACTACAGAAAACCATCTTTATTGCATGCTACTATATCTTGTTAGAGCATCCTGCATACTCCTACATGTAAGGAAGTGGCCTGTGACAGAATACAAACTCTACAATGAATCTGATTGGCAGGACACATTCCATTAAAAACTAAATGGTAAAACATGACAGTAATTCAAAAAATGGCTTAAAAATTTGAAAAGTCAACAACTAACACTTTGTTTTGGACTAGCAAAAATGAAAATCATTAGATACCATTTCAGAGAACATTAAAATAATGCAATGCCACATCTCAGTGAAGATGCATTCAGAGAAAGAGACACTGAATGTTATTCATTACATAAATTATTTTTGCCAACTATTTTTCCTCTAAAAACATCTCCATAGTAAAACAGTCTTCACCACCTGTGTAATTACCAATAAAAAGTCCAGAGCTGTCAGAAGTGGCTGTGCATCCAGACTTTTATAGTCACGACGACACAAGGCTTTCGCCTAAAGCAACACACAGAATAGCACAGAACTGGAACAGAAGTCTGGTAATTCATTACACTCCCAAGATAAGCCTTTTGAAATGAATTGCAATGCTTTGATAAACTAATGAATACCTCATATATGATAAAAAGTATTAGTATTTCATAAAAGTATAAGAAATTAAGTAAATAAAATGTGGGTATATAGTATATCAGAAACAACTTTGTTTCCTTTTACTAAAAAGCAGTCTTTACTACATGAGCATAAGCCACTCCTTAAAGAACAGTGACTTCTGAGAGTAGTATTTTCAAGTTCTTTTTAATTTTCTAATACATCTTATACGTGGTACTTTACGCACTCTCTGTAGTATAGCTTCTGGAGGTGGTAACCGAGCTTGTCTCTAACCCATAAATATAAAACTTTTGAGTGAAAGGAGTCAAGTACAGACCACATCGAAGTTTTCCTGGCATCTGCTGGCCTGAGCTGTAAGCGTAATTAGATTATATGTAATATAATGGGGAGCTGGAGAGGTGGCTGGGGCAGCATGGGCAAGCACTGGAGGAATGCTAAAAGCTACAGTCAGTCCAAGGTGAAGATGATAATCTTTCAGTGCAAGCACTGTCCTTAGGCCCTTCTTTCAAATTCCATCTTACCTAATGAACTGAAGTTAAACTTCAAATCACCAACATAAGCCTCCAGAGAGACGCCTATCTCCTGTACTCTGGGTACTATCTCATTTTGGGTGAATTGGAAAACCTTCATTACTTCTTATCCCATCTCACGACCACTGCAAAAATGTGGAAGAAAATAGTGCCCTTGACATGTCTTCTTTTTCAGTCTCTTTTTGAAATTCTTTCTTACATGAAAATTTCCAGTTCTGTTTCTGCTGTTACTTACTGCTTTCCTAATCAGCTAGATTAAACCCATACAATTCTTTTAAAACTTACCTGTTCCAAATGCTCTCAATACCAAAAATGAAGTCACTGGTAGGTTTGAAATATTGCAAGCAATAAAGACCTAATGTTGTACCCTCTGGGTTCAGAAATAATGTTTTGAGGGTTTTTTTAATGTAGTGGCTTTTTAAAAAGCAGGACAATCTGCTCTTGAAAACCCAGAATTCTAATGTTACAAGAGGTTCCAATATAGATTTCAAATACGTGCAGAAGAATAATATCAAAACAATCAAGACATTCTGACAAATATTGTACTTTAAAGTTGTGGATGACGTAGGTATAAATGATTGAAAACTGAATCTCCCTTGACAGAGACCATTTTGCAATTTAAAGAAAGGTCAACTGAGATACAAACTCACTAAGGTGGCATTTCAGGAACAGAGCAGCTCCCACTGCATAAACAGAAGTTCAAATGTTAAAAAAAAAAAATCACAGCAGCTCTCTGAAACAGACTTCTCAATTCTCTGCTTTTAAAGGAAGCACACGAGCTTTCTCGCTTTGCTCTCTTCTTTTGTATAGCAGTTATTTTTTCTCAATTTCACAGCTTTAGCATGTATTGTTAAGTCCACTACATTCTTAAGCATCCTTTTGGGACACAGCAAAGACATCAGCCTTTCACACTTGAACCCCGGATGAAGTTATTTCATTAATGTCATCTCTCCTGAGATTCACTTTTTCTTTCGCTTTGCAGGTTGCAAAGTGAGAGTTGTGCAACACTTCCAAAAATCATGTTAAGCATCCTGAGATGAAGTGACAGATGCATACCTCTTCTGCACCTTGCAGTTGTGACTATTATAGTTAGTTATTTCCTTCTTGATCTTTTTTCTTCAAAACTTCAGTGACACAGGATGGCAAACCTAGCCAGGTTAGGCAAACCCAAGCACGAAAGATTCAGGACAGGACTGACAACTTCAAGAATGGTAAAGGAAAAGAAGAGTTAAAAGCACTTTACAATTTTATTATTCAATTGGCTTTTGGCAGCTTAATGAAAGAGATGGCAGCCTGTTTATGAACTTGAGGTGAATATTCTGCAGAAAAGCAGTGGTTTTTAATGGGCACTTAACTGGTGCTACCTAAGTGCATGAGACCAGCTGCATCAAAAATGTAACAGTCCCTTTGGAAAGCAAAACAGAAGTCCTCCCAAACCTGCATGCACAGGACCAGATTTTTTTCCATTGCAGTTTCTGCTCCACAGAAGTAAACACAAGTGAGCTGCTCTGAAGCAGAAAAAGGCAATTAAATTGACATGACTTTCAATAGCAAGATAATTTCAATTCTACAGGCACATACTCTTCCTTCTTCCAACTTTTACTTGCTTACTGCCTGAAAACAGTCTATAAAGGATTTGCAAAAAAGCAAAGTAGATTTTGCAACAAGCACCTCAATAAAAAGATTAAGACAGCAGAATGCATCATACACTGAACAACAATTCAATACCATCATCTAGGAAAATATACAAGGGAAAAGATTCACGTGAAAGACATGGAGATGGGTAAACTTAATTGACTTGCTCACAAAAAAATTCAGTGTTTACTGATTTGCATGTTTCATCACTTGCCACAAAGGGTTGAAAAAGCAGAAACCATTCAAACTTCACATGTAGCAGGTTCACCTTCTTGACAAGTGCAAAGTTACACATAGCAAATTCAGGAAGGGATGACTGAAGGATGAGCTTTGCCATGTAACATGACAAATAGAAAACTGTAACACTGTATATCTCATGGGTCAGAATTAGTTTACAATTAAGCGACACTTAAAATGGATGTCCCGTTCTCCCTTGATTTTCTGCTTGGAACAGCTCATTATTAAAAAAAAAAAAGCTAAGACTTACTGATGAGAACAAATACTTATGCAAAGTCTCAAATTACTAAAAAGAAATTCTAAGTCTTCAAGAGTCACTAATGTGAATCCACCACCTTCACAAAACTGGTAACTCTTACAATTAGCAATTTGCAGGTCATAAGACAATATTCACATTTTACCTGTTATGGGGTTCCTGAGTATAAGAATAACTTCCAAAGTAAATCAACATTGCTAGGTAGTCAACGACTTCCTGATTTTAATCTACTGCAACACTGTATAAAAAGATTTTAACTTACAAATCAGTCTATCCTTGCTACCTTTATGCAAGTAATTAATCACCATTCAAACTCCAGGAGCTTCTCTTGCTACAAATATATTTTTTCCCTATAGTAAACAAACAATTTTGCAAAGGAACTAACTAGAAGCAATTAAATTCCCATTTTTATCTTCTCTAAATGGTACAATTAAACCAAGGGTAACAATGAAGCTTGATTACTTTAAGTTTTCCTACTGTCCAGTTTGAGCAAAGGCAACCTGCTTAACCTCTCTATGTCAGTCTCTCCATCTTTGAGATGGAAAAAATACCTACTTCCATGAAAAAAAGACTGTAAAACCTACACAGGTCATAAAAAGCATTAGAAAAAAAGATACTAGAGCAGTATAAAGTGCAGTTCCACTCTGAAAAGTGACTCTTAAAGAGTTGCATCGATTTTCAGGCTTTTAATTAAATCAGTATTAAGTTTGTTCATTCACAAGTAACAAAGTCTTCTTTCTCCAAACCATTAGCCTGTACATTAGTATAGTAAGTCTAACTGATTTTTTCTACTTAAGGAGTACTGCCAATATTAAAAATAAGGTAGATTTAAAGTTATTTATAAAAATCTTTTGCAGAAGTTTAGTACTCGACTTTACTAATTTTCACAGAAAAATACCTAAATGCTTCTCAAAACCTCTAAAGAACTGTCTGATTTTATCATACCAGGAAGTCTCAGTTTTGCCTCAAAATTACACTTTTTCGTTCCAGAATGCCTTATTATGGAACAATCCTGTATTATGAAAAGGGGGCGATTTACAATCTATTAATGATTTTGTGTGTGCATTTCTGGCAATTTTTAGTACAGTTTGATTTGGACTAGGGACTTCAAGAATACTTTTGTTCTTACAATTGGCCACAACTGAAAACATGTCAGCTCATCCATCACACCATTGTCAACATGGAATTCAGAGTTCACTGAATCACAGAGATCTTGAGTCTTGATATCCATATTGCATCAGAGTCTTCAAAAAAACCCCACAAAACAGAACAAAAATCAAGTATGAATTCACAGTGGCACTGACACTAAAACCGGTAAAGTCAAAATAAATGTGTACAGTTGTGGGTAAACGCCGATTTTTTTTTTTCTTTTCAAAGGGCATTTTTAAAACTTCTGAAGAAGTCACTGCCCTCTATAATATCAGTTAACTCCTGATAGAACTGCTGGGCTTTACCAACTGTATATTTTAAAATCTCTACTCCGTATCCAGAAAACAGCTGTGTCTACGTGACCCAATCCAATTTTAATTTGAGAAATTCCTTATTTCTAAAAGTTACAAATGAAAAGTTTCTCAAATACACAAATTTGTGGGCTATTTCATGAGCTGGGAAAGGAAACCAGGATTCCAAAACTTCTATTTAAATGCCTAGCAATTTACCAGAAACTCCAATATTAACTCTACACTACAGTTACATGAAAAAAGAAGCACAAAAGGCACTAAACTTAACAGCAAATCTCAGTCTTGACATTGGCATCACACTGGTAACTATAATCTACGCATGTGCTGCGAAGAACTATGAATTTCAGATTACTAACACTGTTGCTGAATAGGGCAGGACTATACTATCTGTTTCAAAGGTGAGTGTTCTGTGGCCTCCCATGACACATCTAGAAAACGAATAAACCAACTAGCAGGTTAAATTACAACTCTGAAAGAAAAGCCATTGAGATTTCATTTCTTTACAGATCGTATTAAAGACTAAAGATCTGGAAGCCAGCAATGCAACCATCTGCGCTAAACAAATGACAGCTATCCCATTTGCACATTTCCATGGTGGTACATCTAAATGTTGATATTTCAGTTACTCAAGTGAACAAGGAAGGTAAGAAAGACAGGCAAAACTCCAGAAAACACAAGTCTCCATACTGTGAGGAAGTAGTATAAATTCCTCTCAGCTCCTAGGTTATGTCATCGTTAATGAAGCTGCTGTCTACTGACTTACCTTCCAATTACTTTTAAAAAATGGGGTAAGGTTTCAGAAAATACTTGTGTTGACTTGCAAGCTTTTCATCCATTTTTCCCGGTGAGCATAATACCCACAGCTACTCCAAGAGTTTAGTTTCTTATTAAGAGTCCCAGCATCTGGTGAGGTTACTCTTTCCACTGACTCTCAGGATATTCACCAAGATATACTAAGAAGCACAGTGAAATGTATGTTGGGAATTACTGAACAGAATTTGCACTTGGCACAACGCATGTCATATATTCTTAACTGCTTGAGATGTAGCCTCATGTTCCTGAACAACTTTCCACTTTGTAGAACTTTTATGCCAAGGAAAATCCTTAGCAGAGACTTCTGAGGATATTGTAGCAAAATAACTTTCAAGGGTAACAACAAGGTCATGTTGCTTTGTAAGGTTATTCATTACAGTTTGACTTGGTAATAGGTTATTTGGTTTTTTTGGCAACTTTCTATACGGCACTCCGTTCTCAATCAAAACACTAAAATGTGCTAAACAACACAAGAGTGGAGAGGAGTGTATAGTAATTTTCCTCTTTTGCTCATGTTTAAAATTTACAATATCTTACCAAATTAATCACTTCACAGCTGGTGCTTCATTTCCTTAACAGTCTTCATGAAAAACTGTCAAAGGTTTTGAATTTAAAAGAAGTCGTAACTGTGATTTCTCCTTTTATTAATTTCTGGAAAGCAAACTGGCTGTTCCTAATGCATGATCATATAGATTTCAGATTACACACCAAAATTCAAATCAGCTTTTGATGCTGAAGCTGGCTCACAATACATCTTCCTTTTCTTAAAAGCATGAGTATATCCACCAAGTTTGAAAGCTTCTACTGAATTTTGACTAGACTGTATTTCCTAGTCATTGATCCCTTATTTCCTATATACACTGGAGACACAGCTGACAGTGTTGCTGATGTACTATTTGGTAGTGGTTTCAGAGGAGAACTGCGCTTTGAAGAAATAGCAGAATGCTTAGAAAGCATACACAATTTAATTATACACAATTAAATACAACTTTCCTTTACAAACAACAAAAGATTTACAACACTTCTTAAACAGATCAAGTTTAATAGTCATATTTATCTGAGGGAAATTAAGTCCTTTACATAGTTCAGTATCAGTTTCATCCTGAATAGTTCATCTTGAGACTTAGTTATAACTTAAAGTCTGTAATGTGTAAGATTAGGTATTTTAAGGATTTACACAAGTAGTTTTGCTAACCTCGCACTGTCAGCTTGCTATATAACTGGGAGTTCATCTCCTTGTCTCTCTTGTATCGGCGAAATTCATCAACGGCTTCCCGCACCACCGTGACCGTCAAAACAAACCCCTGGGAAAAGGTACAATTGTGCAATTCAGAACTCTCAAAGTGCTAGCACAGAAACACACAAGTAAGAATACTATATGCTTAGAATATTCATTTTTTGTCAGTTGGATTTTAGTGTTTCCTTCAGTCTGTTAAAATAATATCTTGGGTTAGTCAAATCACACTTGTACATTCTACAAATATAAACAGAATAACTACACGTCCAAAGACCTGTACTTTAGATATAATCTGCAATGTAAAAAAATCTAAATGCTTTGGATGAGCTAAAGCAAGCCCTTATAGTTCAATAAGCATTTTTTCCTATCTTCCACAAATTTTAGGGTTTTACCAAAAACATTTAATAAGTCTCCAATTGTAATGTTGGGTTCATTGCCTTTTTCCACAGACAGAAATAACAAGGTAGATGGATGGTTAATACAATTTCATCATCTCAGTTGTAGTTACGTCACGCATCCTGACAAAGAAAAAGGGAGTTTGTTCTGAAAAACTAAGTATGTAAATTCTTTGGCTGCTCCTTTCAAAGGATAATGCCACTGCAGCTTCTGCTGGGAGCACAGAGCACACTACATGTAACTAAGATGATCTCTGGGCACAGAAGATGGGAAGCTAAAAAGAATACAGGGCAGTTCAGGGGTAAGCACTAAAGAATCCTCTCTCCTATTCTAAGCCTCCTCAGCTATGGTCTTCCATCTTCTTAAACTCACGTGCTCAGTTTTTATCCATCAGTGAAAGGGAAATAGAATTTTCAACAGTAAAGGGATATTGTCATTATTCTAAGATGGCAAAAAACTTCAAATATTCACAAATCCTCCACCAGATAAGGTTCTAGATTATGTAGCTAGCTTCAGACAGCCACCAATACTTTCCTTCTGTGGAAGAAAATTTATACCCTTAGATTTCTTGTCTTGTGGAAGTCCATCAGCTTAGCAACCTTCTCTAACCTCCCAGAAACAAAAAAGGACTGAAGGTGTAGTTTTCCTAAAGGAGTCTTGAGTAGCAATCTCCTTTCAATAGCACAGGCTGTTTTACAGTTCCAGCCCAAAATTCCAAGGCTTACTCTGTTGTGATCTTACAGTTAAACACAGCTTATATGTTCAGGTTACCTTTAGCTACAACAATTATATCAGAACTACATATAACAAAAAAGTGGTTTGGTTTGAAAATGCACTCTTTTCACTCTTAGGACATCGCTGAATGAGTAGCAGGGTTTTCCCCTTTTCTGGCAGTAGCCTTTTCACCAGCTTTGGCATTACAGATATTTTAGCAGTATAAAAAAGGCACTCCCGAAGCACCTTCACATATATTTGCCATTTGCACATACCTCATGAACTGGACAGCCATCAAAGCACAGAATGCAAGCTGTTAATTGCAAGAATTTCTCCTAGTGGTCACCAAGCGGTACCTTGCTGGGTACAGTTGCTCAGCACAACTGACTGAGACTATGAGGAACAATTTAAGGGAAACATTTCCCTTTTTCCTCATTCACAAAGGAACATGATACTTTCAAAGGGGAAAGTGAAATTGTGAAGTCAATCTCACATAAAACCCTGTCATCTTTCCCTGTAAGCAATCAAATATCTTTGTCATACTGTTTACAATCAAACTTGTATGCTTTCCATCCTTTGTGTGTTGGACTCAGAGTTGAGAAGTCCATTCCCTACTGTGCAAATTACAACAATCCAGTAAAATACAGCCTTGAAGAACCTCAGTGCTTAAGTGTATTATGTCTGTTTGTTGTAAAACCTGTTGAAGTAAAAACCCAAAACAAAACCCCACTCCACTAGAAACAACTAAAAAGCTTCTAGCACATAGTCAACTTCTATTAATTTGATTTTAAGTATCAGGCTGAACAGTTTATTATAAAATTTTGAGCGAAAAATAGAAGCCAAGTCATAGCTACTTCTCATTATCACTAAAGAACTATCAGCAGTTCTATGCTCTTCAAAAGAAAACCAAACTTATCTGTTAAGCAACAGACAGTCCAATGGGTCTGAATTATGTGTCTTATATTTTCATCATACATACTGAGCCTTTCTCAGCATCCAATTAATTTATTTTACCTGGAGGTCAATCATTAGTAGAAAAGCAAGTCAAGTAGAAACAAACAAGTTTAGAAAAAAAAAAAAAGTACCACTAGCACTAACAGAGATATTGTTTATTTTCAAGCTATATGTGAAAACTTGGAACCATAATTTAAAAAATCCTTGAAGAAGACAAACAGATTGATACAGAACAGATTATTGGTGTTTGTAAAATATGGTATTATCTCCCTTCTTTGGGCAGATGAGATAACCTGAGATGCTAACTGATTTTCTTCCTTACTACCCCCCTAAGGTATAGCAGCACTTAATTGTGAAGAGACCAACTTCCAGACAAGGCTGACTTCTGTCTTTTCTGATTGGGTCAGTGACAAAGACCTTTGTAAACATCCATTTCTAATCCCACTGTTGAACAAGCTTTCTGTCTTAGTGTTTTTTGTTGCAGCATAAACCAAAAGTTGTCTGGAAACAGAGGTGTGAAGAACCTCCAGGACAGTCTCTCCATTTATCAATACTTAAAAGGACACATGTTGCAACAATTAAAACAATTAAATCAATCCAGAATATTTACTGTATTGACTTTTTAAGAACGACCTTTACTCAAGCAGTCAGCATGTCACTGCTCCTCTTGAATACCACTGAGAATAAATGCTACTTAAAATACTATTTTTTAATAAATTTTGAAAACGAAGCATCTGTTCTTCCTGCCTTGCTTTTAAACCTGGGGTGGAGGGGCTGGGAGGAAGATGAAAGAGAAGGTAATGATCTGGTTACAAACAAGAAAAGAATTCCAAATCATGGGAGTATAGCTGTCAGGCTACCAAAAGGGCTTCATCTGAAGAGAATACAATCTTCAAACCTCAGGAAACCCGAGTCAAAACCAACCGGTTTGAACAATTTCCCAAGAAAATACTGGAGGGCTCAATAATGAAGACATATTGAAAGTGCAAGCGGCAAGACAGTCAATTAGAACAAGCATGTTTAACGAATAACATTTTCAAGTCATATTTTCCTCCACGGCTTAAAACACTTCAATTTTTGTTAAAAAAGGACACGATCAAAACCGATACAAAAGGAATGGAAAAAAAATATGCTTTCAGTTCTGACCTATCTTGTAAACATAAAACAGTGAGCAAGTAACAATAAATGAAAGAAATTAAAAACACAAATTACTTATCAAATAGCATTCTGTACTAGTTGGAGGGGCTGGGAGGCTTTGTGTTGGTTTTATTTTTGGTTTCTTTGGTTGGGTTGTTGTGCTTTTTTTAACCTCTCAAGCAACCAGGATCCAGAAAGGAGCACTACTCACTCAGACTAGCTGGCTAACCAAAACAGCTTCCAGCCTCTGGGGCAGGAGTGTGGTAGGCAGGTGGGAAGGAGGGCTATTGAACAACAGGTTCTGGACAACCTGCTGTAAAACACTGACATTTCAAAGGAGCATTCTACTTCTCTTATATACGTTAATCATTTTAGTTTACCAGACACCAATTTATGAAATTTACATACACACAAACTTTTCATCTGAAGTTAAAAAACCAAAACCTCTAGTTAATAGTATTTTTCTGTTTACCAGAGGAGCCCAGTACGTGTACAGGTAGCCTATTTTCAATGCTGGTACAAACTGTGAGCAGGACACGACGAGAAAATAGAGATTCAAGAAAAACTTGAACTGTTCATACAAAACCTAAAATGAGAAACACAAAATAGATAAGTGCCTTAAAATCTCTGCCCGTAATGTACATAAAATTCATTTTTTTATGACAGTAGGCATAAGTACTCTTAAAGCCATAAATATGGCTTACTAGTATATATGGTGCTATTATAGTACTATATAGCACAATACACTATATATCACAAACTACTACATGCAATATAAGTTATTTTAATATTATACTGCTAGTTTTGTTGAGAAAAATCCTTTTATATTAATGCCTCTATTAACTCTGAAAAAGTGATCTGCCACATTTTTGGTATTTTGAAAACTGGGCTGTGAAATCAATCTTCACAAATAATAAATATCTATCAAGACCACTCTGCAAAGATTTACTCTGACGTTTTATCAGTAAAGAGAACTCAGATATTTGTAGAAACATCTTGCAATAATTTTATATGCACAAATTACCTTTGAGTTAAGTTTTTGAAAATCTTTTTTTACAGTATCAATAGAAAAGGCAAAATAAGTTTGTATCTGAACTTTCATTCCATATATTAAGTTTTCAATTATCTGCTGAAACTTTTCTCCCTAAAACTATAGCATTAGAAGTACATCTTACATTTTTCCCAAGTAACAATACTAAAATTCTGTTCTGTCTCACAATATCTTTTTGTATTAAAAATTTTCATATCCTGGCCTTACATAATAACAATAAACAAGAAAAATCCTGTTGGCATCAAACAAACAGAAACGATTCACAAAAATATTACCCTAGTCTTTGTCATTTGAGCTTCTACAGATGACTAAACCTGAGTATGCTATAACCACGCTGCTCTGCATCCCTGTGAGAATACCCAAAAATGTCAACCCTGCCTGCAGCACATGCAGAAACCCATACTCATGAACTCCTCCCTGCTTCTGCTCACTGCTTTGCACATCCTCTCCTCCACACAACCGCTGAAGCTTTTACTCTTGGAGGGGCACGAGCTCTACAACCCACCTGCCTTCTTTCTGAAGTCTTTTGGTTCTCAAAGGGACCAAGGCTACCATCAATCAGACACTCCTTAAAAATTATCATTTCCCACTGTTCTTAGAAATAGTGAAGCTACTCAGCATTCAAGAATAAATGTTGTTTAGAAAGATAACATGAGCACTACAGAAGAGATCCAGTGAGTAAGGGTAAGCAAAAGTGCTCTTTCCAAAAGGCCAATTATGTGGAAATCTCGGAATAAAGCAGTATTCTGCAGCCTCCATAGCAAGACAAGCCTTTTACAGAAGTCACCACAGTTTAACTTTTTGGAAGGTTTAAACTAAAAAAAAAAAAGTAATAGAATAATACAGGGTTTTGATGTAATTTTGAAGAACTGCTCAGCATTAAATGTCTCAAAGGATTATTTTCCAATAAATGTTAGCACATATGTTTATTAATAAATTAATGGTTTGGGCTAAACTTCAAGATAACTGTCCAAGTTTTAAGTAACAGAATACATTGTCCCATATTCTAAAGGAATGACAGATTAAGATACTCTTTTGGTAATTAAAAAGACCAATTCAGCAAGCTCACACTGAAAACATTGCTTTAGTTATAAATACAATGCTAAGAACATTCTTAATTTTCTAGAATTTTGAATCTTCAAACATTTCACATATTTCTTTAGTAGATGAGACACCTCCAGCAGGATGATCTGAAGTGGTTACTGATCTTGGAACACTGAGATTTAAGAAAACAGATAATCAATTGTTTTGAAGCCAAAATATTAAAAATAAAGCAAAAAGTCACATTTAAAAAGGCATCTCCATCTTTTAATCTTACAATTCAGCTAATGTTACAGTGACTTATGTCTAAAAATCAAAGTTATTGGACAGATATTTATTGCTCTTATCAGTCCAACATTATTACTCAATTATGTAAAAACCTATGCTCTAGGAAAAAAAAAAAAAATCAGGGAAGTTAATTTCAAATTGTCTTTCTCGCAGGAAAAACAAAGTAGCACTACCTCAAAACTACCAGTTTCTTGCAAGAGTGCTACATTACTGTTCAGCTAAAGGCTACCTACACAGCCTCAAATCAGATTTTTTTCAAGAGCACAGAACTCTATTCCGCTATTGCCAACAAAACTGTAAAGTCAGGTCAAATTTGAAGTTGCAAGGAAACTTTCTTCCAAAATGAAACTAATTCAGCTTGAACCTGTACCTTGTGTTAACACTGATGAAGTTCATATACTCATTTCTAGCAGCGTGTTTACCTGTTTACAAGGACACACAATGCTGGGACAAGATACTAGGTCAAAGAAGAGTCCACGTAGTACTTTGGGAGGTGCATATCTGCAAGAGCACTCATCTTGCAGGAGGCGGTGGGAGTTAAACCACCGTCCTACAAAGCTTTTCAATACTGACAGGCCACCAACACTTGATTCAATATAAGGCTAAACATTTCAGTCTAGTTAAGGAAACTGAAAAGTTTCCAGTTACATAAAACTGATTAAAAAAATAGACTACTGGTTTGAAGTTCGGAAGAGGTATCTTAAAAATTTGCCCATTACAGAAAATATTCTTCACTGAAATTTACACAAAATCCCTAAGCAGCATAGACACATTTTCATATGTATTTGAAATACCAAATGGACAATGAACAAACCATTATGAAAGTAGAAGCACTAAATATTTTATATGAATATTAGGAAATTAGATGGTATTTTGGAAATGTTACAGCTCTTTTAGACAGTAAATAAAATTCCATTGATCTAAACATTATTTCAAGCTTGTAATTTGAAAGGAAACTATTTAGTATTAATCATTGCCAGCAACAACATTAAAAAAAGATTGAAACTAAAAAGAAGACAAAACATGATGACAATTTCAACCACAGTAAATCACTGTAGACAATATTTATGACTTAGTGTATTGGTTCCAAAACACTACATCTATGTGCCGTACGATTTACCCCTAGTGGAAAAGCACAAAAACCAGACAGCTACACAGTATTTCTAATACTAAGAAGTGTTCATTTATGTCTAAAATTAGAATTTTGTTTTCTGGTTCTGCCCATACTACAAACACCAAGATTTTCAAAAGATCAAAAAAGAACAAACATCTTCTCTCTCAACAGCTAACTGCAAGTTATGCCTGATCCCTACAGGAAATATGAATCTAATTTCAGATTTGTAGTCTACACTGCACACTTCTAGTCACAATAACCAACGACTTACTATATACTTAATGAATTTTGTGACCTTTAGAAAAGTATATGTGACTTAACCAATTTTAGTGTATTTAATAATTTAAACTTTGGAAGAAAACATTTACTCCATTCAATAGAGATAAGAATATTTTACCTGCCTATGATAAATGACATTTTATTTCTTTGACAGGAGATCAGTCCTATTTACAAAGTTATTAATTTTTTTTTTGTTTTAATAAAGAATTTGTTAGGAAGAACCTGCCAACCATTGGACCAAAGAGGCCAGAAGAACAGAATCAATACTGTCGTAAACCAGCGTGATCACTGAAATAAAAGATTTATGACAAGGCATGTCTGTATTCAAATGTCGAATTTTTCTGCAACAGGAATCATAGAATCCTTTAGGTTGGAAGGACACAGGACTCTTGGGTGGTATTAGTACAAGTATGAGTAAAAGCATATTAGTAAAATTTATAATATCACAGCTGCGTACATTTTGAGGTTTAACTATTAAATCTTCAAAAGTTTTCTTCTCCGTTGCTATTATTTCATTGTAACAACGCATTTTTTCTAAAGCATGAACTAGACAAAACTAATGTCTCTTATTTTCGTGTACACTGTGAACATTAAAGGCAAAACCTGCAATTAATATGGCTTATTAAGGAAAAAAGTGACAAAAAAACCCCTTCTACTCCTTAATAAAAGCGTTGTCTGAAGAACTGAGCTAAAAACCAAAAAGACATCACTATTTTTAACACTGCACTAAGAAATACAGTTCTGGAAGCACTAGTTTACTAAACTAGTTGCCATACAAATTGAAAAACTGGGTTCTTTAAAGAGTTGCCCATTTCAGAGTACATTACTTACAATGCTTTCAATGGCAGGGAGTATGAGAAAATAACTATGGGAGTACACTGCAATTTTTAACTATTTATTTCTCAATTGAAGTCAGTGCTTTGTAGTGTTTTCTCAACTGTGTAGAAGTGCTTCTGTTTTAAAGAGGATTATAGATTTCCAATGATGAACAGAAAAGTGCAAGGAAACCCATTTCAAATTTCTAAAGCTTTTTGCTACCCCTTTGAAAACAAAACAGTTCAGAAAAAAAAGCAACCTTACTCTCAGCTGTCAATGTTAATTGAAGACATTGAGATAAATGTAGAAAGAAAAAGAATCCAGGCAAATAACATCTTTTTGCAGAACTGTCCAATAACATTACAGGAGACATAGTCAGCCCAACACCAAAATGGTTAGTAGCCTTACCCCAGGTATAAAGGTAAAGATGTTGTATTTCTGATTTTTTATGGCATTTTTGGGATATTTTTCTTCACACTTTTCGGGACACCCAAGCCACACTGTGCGAGCCTTCAGCTCTTTCTTTCTTCGGCAAATGTTTATGAGCCAATCAGAACAACTGAAAAGAAAAACAATTTTTTACTTCAAAACTAAACATTTACTATTCATGATTACTATTTTCAAACCTGGAACCCTAAAGGAAAATACCTAAGAAATATTTGCCACATCTAAACAAGCGAGCATGATGTTGACTTGTAATATTTAGGCCATTTACACAGTATTCAACTCACTCAGGCATCTACCTACATAAACACTTGCACAGTCTTTACAGGAATTCCTAATAATGGCAAGTTACACTATACCTTGACCTGACACAGGTTCAAAAACTTCTAGTTAATACAGGACTACAATAGCAGTGACTAAATTCCCACACTGTTAAGTAATTAACTCATCCATCATATCTTACAGTCCTTTGGCTAAACTCTTCATCTGGGATTACTGATACTCAAATTATGGTAATGACTGAAGAGGAAATAAGGCTTCTGTTACATGAGGCTAGAAAAATTTCAACAGCTTTGTATACAATTACCACATAATTTGTAAATCTTCATTTCCTCCCAAAGACTGCCTACAGCAGATGTAACAGGGAAGCACACCTAATGCCGCAGCATCAAACATTTTCAACAAAACCAGAAATCAAACATGTAAATGCAGATCATGCAATAATCAGCAATAGTGAGCTTCAATTCACAGGAGAAAGGAAGAGCATCCTTGCCTAATCAGCTTACAAATCTACTGAAGGAGGTTTAAACGAGGAGCAATGAAGTAAGACAGGAAGAGCTCACAGACACTTTTAAATAACTTTATTTTGACAAGGACAAAGGAAAAACAGGATGAGATCAAAATGTAGGAAGAACAAAAGTCTGGCAAACAGAACAATGCCACTGAGGCTCAGCAGAGTATTTACTAACAACAGTAAAATAAGAAACAAATATGGATGGGACTCAACTCATGTAATGTAATCAGCCTAAGAACTGTGAGGGCCAGCCACAGGAGCACATTATTAACAGATTGGTACAGATGGTTTGGGAAGAACTGGCAGCATGGAAAGAAAAGCAGATTTACTATCTCCTGTATAGGGCTGCTTTACAATCCCATGTTAAAGGACAATTTTTCTGCATTTTTTAATACTTGTGGGAGGTGGCTTAATCATGAGTCTGTTTTGAGCTAGTGAATCTAGTGAATCTGGAAGACTGAGCAGACAGGCCTTCTGTGAGCACCTACTGCAGCTGAAGCACAGACCTAGCTGGTCAGAGCTATACCAGCAAGAGAAGTTGAAGGTGAAGGAAAGTAACGCATATTTTCTATTAAGGTTTTTGAATATACTGACAACATTCTTGATGCAGAAAACCAAGAAGTAACCATTAGGAAGCTCATATGAATTGTATTCAAACCAATAAAAACGATTTTGCTGAGAACAGGTGGGGAAAATTACCATCCAGTCACCTCAGCATTGCTTCTTGGATAAATTCTGTATGGTCAACCTATCTGTATGCATTTGTAAACATCCGAAAGAAAACAAAATCATAACCAACACTGATACCTCAACGAGCAACCTCTGAAATAGAACAGATTTCCCTCTGAGAAGAGCCAAATGCACTACTGATTGAGAGTACATCTCCTCTCTTGACTCCTGGGGCTTTCAGCACCCTGGTCTATCGAAAGATGTCCCCAACCATGATCAGAGAGGATTGAACTAGACAATCTTTAAAGGTGCCTTCCAACACAAATAATTTTGATTGCATGTCTGTAATAAAATTTGGTTCTCAAGGTGTTTCTCATAAGGAAAGTAAAAAGAATATATTCTTGCAACTGATATAGTTGGAAAAATCATCATTACAGAGTAGCTTGTTATAAAACCAAAATAATATCAGTGAAGTTCTGCAAAGCTTTATTTAGAACTTCCTGGGTAATTGACTATTGGATATTTCATTTTTTAGACAACAAAAAGCTAGACGAGACAAGAGTACATATAAAGAGATAAGAATTCAAGGCTGTCTTGATAGATTGGAAAAACTACCTGAAAGAGACAGAACAGGCAAAAGCACAACACAGTACACTTACAGAGAAGTAACTGATTATGCAAATACAGCCTTAAAAAAGAGTTAGTGGAGGGCAGATCAGAAGAGGAAGACTGAGTTACTGCATGAGAATGACATAAATGAGGGAAAAAAAGGCATGTATCTGGTCAGCACGGACAGGCACACTGCTAGCAAGTCATGAATGAACTCCTGTTTCTCAGTCCAGTACTAGCAAAATCTGTTGGGTTACAATACCTTTCTGAAAACGAAATTTCAATGAACAGGCCTAGTGTGAAAACAAAGCCCACATACAAGAGCAACAAAACAATTAGAGGCCTAGAAAGCATGGTAGGTTTGTCTACTAGACACACCCCAAGGAACAGAGCTGTTCAGAAAAGGTTGATTTCAATCACATAAGAAACAACGGCAAAGAGGAAAGGGACAATTATTCTCTAGGTCCGCCGCGATTAAGTAACGATGGACTTCAACTGTGACAAATAAATAAGGGTGAGGGGACAGACATTGAGTAAATGCTTCTAATGACAAGGGTGGAAAGAAACACTTCAGGCTGGAATTGCTACTACTGCAGGTTTCTAAGATCTGGTTAGATCAGACATAAGCGATAGGTGTAATTCATCCTGTGCAGGCAAGGAATCGACTGGATGACGTCTTAAGGTCTTTCCCATTCTGTTTTTCCACAATTACAGAACCATGGCACACACAAGTAGGCAGGGAAGGAAGGCAGATAGTTTACAACACCACAGACCCACCTAGAAATGTTCTTGTTTGTTGCCTACATTATCCCAGGCTTATTACAAACTAATTTTGCAAAAGAAAATGGAATTCAAAAGTTGCAGGCACTTTCTGAAAAAAGCCCTAGAAGTTATACAATACTGAAATCATTCAAAGCAATATTCACTTTGTTATGGAAATGCCACTATGCACAAGCTGACATTTAAAACACTTCAGTTATAAATGCTGGATTCTTAAGATTTCCTCCCTGAAGTTTTCACTATGGGATAGGCATCAATTTGGCTTGATCCTATGCAAACATGGATTTTATTTGTTAAAAATGTAAGCCCATTCAACAACTTTTCCCCCATCACTTTTAAAATTTGACAAAGAATTATTCCATAGTAAGAACTGTAACAGTTTAGTTCACCATTCAGCCCTGTTATTTAGTAACATACAAGTCAGAAAAATCCAGTTACCTTGATCATTACTTAAATTTGCCTTTAAAACAAAACTAACAGCAGTCTGTCATATTTCCACAATCAACTTAATAGCTGTGGACCTATCCTGCTGCTGAACTGGCTGGTACCACCCACCCTCCTCCCATAGTGAAGGTGTGGCTTCTGGCCCCTTCCCTTGTGCTGACACAAATACGCATGCAGCTGCATGAGTAAACCAGATCCACAAACAGATCAACTAATGTCAACTAATGCAGAATAAAAAGGGAGACTATTTTTAGTTAGATCTGCCCCTGATGTTTAAAATCTATAAAACTAAAAAAAGCTGCAATAACGCAGGCTGTGTGCTTCCAGGAGAAGGTGGAACAGCTCCACTCAGCACCCACTTGGATTTACAACTGATAGAACAACTGCTCATGGAATTAAATCTTTTAATAAAGTTTCCAGGGCAGGAGAGTGGAGAAGACTTGCACAAGCAGAAGATATAACTTAGTTGTCTAGTAAAAAGTGTCAAGACAGATCTGCAGCAATCAAGTTCAAAGGAAAATTTTTTCCAGGGAAAGTGAACAAGCATGAAAGCTTCTGTCTGCAGGCCCACAGACAGAAATTCCCTTTACAGTTTTGCATTGCTTAAATTGGTTTTTGAATTTAAACTGTAAACAAACTGAAAATTTGACTACACACAGTCTCTTTTGTAATCTCCTCAGACACTGAGGACTTCTCTATTGCTAAAATTAAACATTTGACTAAAGCGACTGAATTATACTGCCTTCCTTGCCACAGAATTTCCCCTTCTTCAAACTACTTTTTCCATTACAGGTCAACAGAGAAACTGGAACAGATGCTACAATAACCATTAGTTTAACATATGACAAGAAGTACAGGCACAAGCATGACTGGGAAACAAACATGATACCTCTGACAAAAGGGATTTGACTGGCACAGAGCTAACACCACTCAAGTTTTCAAACGCAAGAAAATCTAAAGATGATGGAAATACTACAGGTTATGCTCAAATCAGTATTGTAATGGCTCAGATGAATTTTACTATCTTAAAAGTAAAAACCAGTTAGATTCTGCCATTTACAGTCTCAGCAGTAATCACTCTATATGACAGGAGGAATAAGAGATGGACATACTGGACTCAAAAATTCTAATCAACTTGCATTAATTCAGATTTTTAAGAACACTGAAGTCTACTCAATACTTTTGAAAGTCAGATTATCAACACCCAACATATACTTAATCTGCTCTAAAATTAACATTCCGCCATACAGAAACAATTTTCATGCAAGGCTATAGACCTTTTACTGGGCTTTTTGTACCCCCTAAATTTGCGTGAAACAAACATCAGGAGATAAATCAGAATAGCATCCTCCCAAGCTTCAAATATATGAAAAATATAATGCAAGACTTAGCATGATCAATACACACTTTAGATTTTCCTGAAATTTTGAATGTAAAAATCATACCTTATGCTATGCATTCAGCAATTAAAAATCAAATTCTTGTGTACTGATTTAAGCACTTATTTCAAATGCCCTTGCCTAGACAATTCAGATGCAGAGAAAGCTTTTTCTTAAGCTAGCTATAAGCCACATTGCTTATATCAATACAACAGATTGTATATATGAAAAAATGAATTCATGAAAGACATTTAAGGGCTATTGAATGGCTTGTTACTCAACCTGCTTCCTAATGTAGTTTTTTTTTATTTGAAGGAACAATAGCTGGAGTCTTGATACTAGTTACTGATGCCGTATTACTAAACAAACAAACCAACCACAAACACAAACCCTGGAGTAAGTTAAGAGTTCTCACTTAACAGTTTTTCATAAATACAGTGTGTCTCTCCAAGTCAAAAGCTAAAGTAAAAGTTTCAACTGACTCTGCAGATCTAATAATAAAGGCTTTTCTTATTTTATCTTTTCATTACTTTTATCCTACAAGCTTAACTGCCAGTATCTTTCACAAAACAGCATTTTCATCAGAATGGAAAGATAACATAAAAGCTCTATATTGTCTGCCAGGGTCAGCTTTTCCTTATTAGGTTTTAAGTAGCAGAAACTAGTTCTGCAAAGAAAACATACTGTAATTATTGTACTCAACAGGTAGCTTCAGTAATCAGGCCAAAAGCAACACAGTGGTCATGTCATTCTTAAAAGATCAGCATTTTCCCATGCTTCTGAATAACAAATGCATTGCAGATTAATTGAAAGCGTACAGGCCATCTTAGCGCCCAAATTAATCCGAGCATTTGATATCCCCTTCACTTCATATGGAAATGCCATTCAATGGCACCATTTTCATAGGGACAAAGTGTTTTTTGATAACAAGTGGAATGTAAATCTCATGAGAAAGAAATCAATCCAGCCCAAAGAACTCCAGAGTATTGATCTATGTGCATTTTAATTTCACAAGCTTGAAGAGAATTTGTAAGTTAAAGGGGAAATGATTACAACCACAAAACAGCTGCTATATTACAAAGTTTTCTTTTAACTGTGCTATGAAAGCAAGAAATAAGCAGTTTCTGAAGTTAAAAGTTATATTGGTTGTATTAAGTCTTCAGTTTGTTCAAAATCAAAGAAAACATTTGATTTAATTAAACAGCTGCAAGAAAAAAAAACATGAAGAGCTACATATCTGCAAATAAAATTCACACCACTCAGTTCCAATCAACAAGTCTATTGTCTGAACAGAAGTTAAAAACACAAATAAAGGATTTTTACGAAGTAACTTTTCATGTACACTGAATTCTGTCAAACCTTCTGTATTTGCTCCTGCCAAAAGGGTGTAACTTTGTCAACTAAATGGCAGCAGTTTGCGATGTAGCAACAAAACTCTACAGAATATAGAATTCCAAACCTGGAAAAATGGAAAATCTGCAGATGGAAAGCTTCTTAAAAAAAATGAGACTAATTCTAACAATACAAGACAAAGAAAGAGGTGGGGGGAGGAGAGGGGTGGTGTTTGTTTGCAAGAAGTGATTTTTGAACACAAACACAAGACTTTCACTGAGGACCCAGAAGACATCTGGGGCCCCTGAGCCCAGCTCCAGTCAAATGCCTCGTCTCTTATTGTGTTCACCTTTCTGCCACAGTTTTGAAACATTTACAATTTATTTTAAAGCACAGAAGGAAATTCTGGATGTGGAAGTTGACAGTTCAACCTCTACACAGTCTCATGCAGGAGATATTAATTTCCACAAAAACAGGGTGAAATTTTAAATTCTGTTCAACTGAACAGTTTTCAGAATAAGATTCTGTATTTAATTTCCCCTTATCCTTCAAAGAATGCAGTTTGCCCTCAGGAAGAAAGTTTCAGTTGTTTGTATAACACATATAATCCATGATCAACACACATGAAAATTGTTTCCTCCCATGTTCCTCTCCATTTCAAGTGTGGAGGCATCAACACCCAGATTTTATCATGCAAGATAAAAAACCCTCATGATTCTTTATCATCCTAATAGCAATTGCTGTATTTAGGAATTTGCTAGCAATTCATTAGAAAGTTACTATTCCAAGGCAAATGCATACAGCAGAGTTTAGGACAAAGAGTTTCTAAATAAGAACCAAATCACAAGAGCTAATTCCAGCTGTATCTCACTCCGAGGCCACCAATTACACATATTCTACACCCCTAAAGGATGAAGTGGTAACTACTCCTTAGTTAATGAATTTGTTTTTTCTTCTCAGCAACATCAATAAAACTTACATATTGTCAACTTAACACACTCATGCTCTCAAAAGTAAAAGAAAGTTTTATCCACTCTATCCTCATGGGTTTTTGAGTAGAAGTACGGACCAGGCTTCTATGCCATATTCTGCACCTCAGACTAGTGGAAGTTTAGTACATGACCTCTCTGAAAAGCCTCTTTTTCCTTCAAGTCACTGAAGCAGACAGGAGTACACAGCTCTTCAGTACTATATTTTTTTCTTACCGTCTTGTAGCATCCTAGTAGGGAAAATGCAGGCAAAGCAATCCAAAGGTGCACGACAAGCAGACTGTGTCCCTGTGCTCCACACATATCACACACTGTTTAATTTAATAAGTTTAATAAAAAGTACTGGTATACAACAAACCTAGTGCAAAGGAACTTCCAGCCACCACAGATAAACCATTCTAAGCCTCTTCTTCTCTGAGAAATTCTTGCTCTTGGTAGAGTATGGTAATCACTCTCATCGTTTTCAAAGCCTTCTTCTGACATCATTAGTGGCATTTCATCCAAATGAGAGGACTCATCTTCCACTTGGTACCTAGCAAAGCAAATTAAAAACACTAAATAAATAGCTCATCCATCACTTTTTTTATTAACACGAATCTCCTGAAGTAACAACTTAATTTTTGCCATATAGAATTTTCTTAGAGAGGTATTTTAATCTGAACATCTCATGCATTTCTACTAATACATCAACAAGAAATTCTGATTGGAGTTAAAAAGGTATCATACAGCAAAAAAGCCTGCAATCATTCATTGTCATTTATAGCTGTATTTGGTCTGGCTGAGCTGACTTTCCCACAGCAGCCCTCAGGGTGCAGTGCTTTTGTGTTGTCTTCATCTTACCTTCCTTTCCCCTTTTGCTCTTCAGAGGAGTGAGAGGAACCGGGCAGGGTGATAGAGTGGCTTGGTGGGCACCTGGTACTCAGCCAGGGTTAACCCACCACCACAACAGTAACCTTTCTAGGGCAATTCTTGTTATATAATTTGTACATGCAGAACTGCAGCTTCATACTTTTCAAGGGATTCTTTATAAGATTTTTTAAAATAAAATTTACTTGAGGAAAGTTTATAGTAAATGCAATTGACCCAGTTTTTATGGAACTACAGACTTTAGATTTCCACTGAGTTTCTTCAGCTTGCTTTCGTGATGTCTACTACAGTGTGTGCAGGCCTCTATTGGAGTTACACTTTCTAAACAAGTCACCAGTATCTTAGTTTTAATTACTAAAACATTTTAGCTATTTGTATAATTCTACACTAAAACATTTAGCAAGTCAAAACAGATTTGCCTGGGGGACCTACAGAAAAAACACTAAGCTAACAATGGTCCATTCCTCTCCAGAAACTGTTCTCCACTTCAGTTTTACATTTCTGGAATGTTTTTTATGCCAAGACAAAATGTTAGAATATTTGATAAGAAGACTCCTCTAAATGCATGTAAATTGATTAACTTATTCCACATGTATTTTTATACCTTTAGAAAGATAACTGAAAAAAACCTGCAATATTACTCAGGTTTTCTTTCACAGACTACTGAAAGGACTAATAAGAACATTAGAAGATAAATTTGAAAGGAATTCAACATTATAGTCAGGCAGAGCTATCTATTTCTATGTAATAAAGCATACAATAACTAATCAATCCAAACGCACGATAAACAAAATGGTCAGAAAAGCTGGCTCCACAAATAAAATACATGAAAAATGTATCAAACTGAACACAAATGCAAAAACCTTGAAATACATAAAAATATTACTTGATACTATTGGTAATAATAGTTAAGCAGTCTTTATAGGAACAGCTGATAAGTATCTGACCAAAAGATATTATGTGTATGTATTTTTAAAATTTCTCAAATACTTTACAGTTTAGAAGACTAGTAGACCGTCAACAATCTAGTCATTGTGTAGTATGTAATTTATCTACCTTGAAATTATTCTTGCACAGGGAATAAAGAAAAATAATTCCTAGCGCTCAGAAAAATAAGAAAAATGATTTGGCCACAAAAAAAAAAAAAAAAAAAAGTGTTTGGCACAGAATTAGTAAATTTGATTTTTATGAAGCTGTATTATATAGTCAACTCTCAAAATGTTTGTGCTGGGACTGTCTCATTTCCTCACAGCAACCTAAAACCAATCTAAATAAAACCAGTCATTAATAAAATAAAAAATCCCTTCCTTTTAAGTGAGAGAGCAGCTAGCGTGCATGGAGCTCTGCCTGGGGATGGAAGCAGAGCCAACTGAGAGCTCCTGGGTTAGGATTAAAAATATGACAGGTAAAGGCAGCATTATAGGGGGTGGCTGCTACAAACTGCCTGAGCAGGAAGAACAAGCACAACGAAAGAAGATAAGCAATCCTAGAGTCCTGCAGTGCTTTGACAACAACTTCCTCCTCCAAATAATTAAAGGGGACAATGAGAAGAGGTGCTCTGCTGGATCTCATACTTGCCAAGCAAGGAGAGGATCCGTGAGGGTATGAAGATCAAACACAGCCTTGGCTGCAGTGACCATGAATGAGATGGTGGAGTTCAGCATCCTGAGCACAGGGAGGAAGGTTTCAAGCAAGCTCATAGTCCTGGACTTCAGAACAGATTTGGCCTTTTCAAGAACCACTTGGAAGAGTCCCATAATTGAGTCCTATTAAATAACCGGCCTAGTAGATGAGGGGGTAGATGAGACAGTGGCTACTTGGGCCTCATTAAGGCCTTTGATACTGTCTCCCATAAAATCCTCACAGACAGGCTGCTGATGCAGGAGCTGGATAAGCAGTGAGGTGAACTGAAAACTGGCTGAATGAACAGGCCCAGATGGTGGCCATCAGTGGCACAAGATCTAGTTGCAGGCCAGTAACTAGCTGTGTACCCCATGGGTCCATATCTGGTCCAGTCCTGTTTAAGGTCTTCATTAGTGATTTGGATGATAGGGCAGATCACACTCTCAGCAAGTTTGCAGGTGACATAAAACTGGAAGGAGTGTCTAACAGGCCAGATGGGTGTGCTGCCATCCAGCACAAACTTGACAGGTTGGAGAAATGGATTGACAAGAACCTCAAGAAGCTCAGCATGGAGAAATGCAAGGTCCCAGTGAGGAACAACTTCACACACCAGTATATGCTGGGGGTCACGAAGCTGGAAAGGCATCTGTCAGGAAGGATCCTTGTGGACACCAGGCTGAACATAAGCCAGCAAGGTACTTCTATCCTGGGTTGTGTTAAGCAAAATACTGCCAGCAGGTCAACGGAGGGGATCATTCCCCCTCTGCTCAGCACTGGTGAGGCCACACACTAGACTCTTGTGTCCAGTTCGGGGTCCTCAATAGAAGAGACATGGACATACTGGATAGAGTCTAATGAAGGGCCATGAAGATGATTATGATTAGAGCACCTGTCCTATGAGGAAAGGCTGGGACAGCTGGGACTGTTTAGACTGGAGAAGAGCAGGCATGGGAAGGATCTTTATAACCTCTATAAGCACCTGAAGGGAGGTTGCAAAGACAACTGAACCAGGCTCTCTTCACTAGTGTCCAGTCACAGGATGAGAGGAAATGGGCACAAACTGAAATGCAGGAGGTGCTGTCTGAACATTAGGAAACATTTTTTTTACTGTGAGGATGGATGACTGAGCACTGGGAAGACATGTCCAGGAAGGCTGTGGCACCTCCATCCTTGGAGATGTTAAAAAATTGTTTGGACATGATCCTGAGCAACCAGCTCCAGGTGGCCCTACTTGAGCAGAGGAGTGTCTTTTGCTCAATGCATGTCGCAGTAGGAAGGACACTGTCATCACTAGGAAGCACAGAGGCCAGATCTTTCCATCCCATTCTAAAGTATACAGAAAGGACATGAGATGGCTAACAACTAGAATAATAAACAGATCAATGCATTCCCTCATGGTACATGACCAAGCAAAGAAAGCAACGAGCAAAGTCAGAAGCCAGGTCATGGGAGAAGGAATAAACCAAGTCATTATCCCAATTCCAGTTATATAGTAATTGCCAAGAACCAACATCATTACATACATAATCCTCTTTCTGTCCTGGTTGTGATGTTGCCTTTCTGCTCTGGGAACACTGCTTGTAGTGGACATCTGGGGAGCTCTTGCAATAACTTGAAACCCTACACAGTGCATCCACTACACAGACAGGCTCCACCACTCACTGCAAGCAGAGCCAGCCTTTATACTGTTAGCTTTAGAGGCGGGACACCTGATGTTAATGTTACAGGCAGGGCACCTGGTAGTGATTTCCTCATTGGTTTTCACCCAAAGTTGGCCAGGCCTTGAGAGAAAACCAAGAGGATGTTCTTTCCTGTCTGGCTGTGGACGTCATCCATATGTCAACCCTGATTCAGGGCTGGGGGTTTAAACCCCAACACTTCAGAGTGGTTCTGCTGACACAGAACAACACCTTGAGCAGCATTCAGTCCCAAATCTTGATAGACTAACATAGTATTTTAAAAAGCCACAACACCAGGACTAAGCACGAAAAAGTACAGTCACAGGATTTGCATTTTCTCACTGTATATTTAATACAAAAACCCAAAAACATTCCCGTTTCCCCTGTATCTCCTGTGTTGTGCCCTGTGGTATAAAGGATATATTAAAGCAGTTACTCACCGTTTTGGGTGACAGGAAAGGGAGTGGGCAAGGAAGGGATTTTACTGTGGCCTTAGATTACTGTTGAAAAGGTACACCACATACTTTCCACTGGCTATCTAATCAATCGGTATCAACACAATTAAGATGGAAGATATAATAAAGAAAGAGAGGGGTTAAAAAAAAAAACAAACAAAAAAAACAGAAACCCGAAGCCCATTAAGTAGTTGTTAACTAGACACTTCCTCTTCTGGTTGGCAGATGATGCCCTGATTTCTGCACCTCCTTTCAGTCTCCTGATATGGGGCAACATGAAGATATGTTAACACTGTTCAGATCAATTAGAAAATATCGTGTAACTAGGAATAACAATACACACACACATTTGCATCCCTGCTGGCTGACAGTCAGCTGAGTACAGGAACCTTAAGCATGTTAGACCTTGTGAAGAAAAAATTCATCTGTTTCAGATAACGCAAAAGCACAACCACAGTGCAGAAAACCACAAGTTTCAAACTAAAAAAAACAAAACTGCATAAATTTGTTACAAGTTCAAGCTCACCGAAACTTAGTTATGGGAAAGTATGGCATAGATAATGCTTTCAGAATTACTACTATCAGTACACACTTAAAAAAAAAAGGAAAATAAAGTTTAAGTCAAACATGAAAAACTTGATCTTCACAAACAATGTTGTTTGCAAAAAGCTGCACCTGATGTTTAATTTTATATAGCAACCTGGCAATATCTTTTCCATTCCCATTACTATTAATGGTAATAAATTAAAAACCCTGTACAAAAAATTCTCTTCACAGAGCAGTTATTATACGTTAATGTGTATATTATACTAAATTATGTGGGTTACTGTCAGACTACACTACTTTTAACACTACACAATGAAACCACTGCTTAGAAGAAACTCAAGACACTACTTTATGCTAAATCTAGTAAGACAGAAAGATCACATTCAATGCTTTTACAACCTCTCCTGGTTAAATTTGCAATTTACATTATCACAGTTTTATAGAGAGAGCTTTCCGTTGGATTGTGTTTTGCTTTTAGACATCCCAACAATTAGTAGTGTACTTGTAACACCATCCAGTGAAATCACAATCCACTAGCTGTACTAGAGTACACAGCAGATGTTGCAAAGCAACAGATTCCTTTTACTTCTGTAGAAAGTTATCAAGAGCCCAATTCAGAAAATAATATCCTTTACATACAAAGGTCACAGGGCAAACACTGTTGAAGTCTCCCTTGAAGGAACATGCTAGCGCAACAGAATGATGGGAGAGAGACTTGGCTGAGGAACATGTTCACAGACAGGCATAATATTTAAATCTACTCTTGTAAACACAGTAATATTTGCAGAGTACATTGAAGTCTAGGGTTTTTTGCCATTTTATTATAATCCATTTTTTCCCCCACAATCAGTCTCTAGGTTTGCACTTTTAAATATGGAGCTTCACCAAGTAGTGAAGATAATGAGTATAAGCACCATTATGTTTAGCAATCCTGACTTCAAAACACAGCCTCTGAACTAGCAGGCAATTTATTCTGTTTCAAAAGCGATTTTGCTATTGTGTTGGAAAATTGTACTTCAGTATCTAAAAACAATAAGATAATGAATAATGGATTTTTCGTAACTAACATGAGGACAAAAATCTTTATGTCTTTGTTACCTAGTATTTTTCTGTGCTTAATTGCTTGAAGTACTGATTTTCCTTGAGTTTCAAATCAATTAAGTATAATCCTAGAAACTTTTATTAAATATGGAAGCACCAAAAGAAACATGAATAAAGATGCCAAAGTGAAGACACCAAAACTCTCAGCATGAGTGCTACTCCTAAATCAGGTATGAAGACAACTATCTTACAAAAAAAATATGGTTTCCTGAAGAAAAGGGAATACTAATATTAAACAACTTCCAACAAAACCTGACTGCTATTCAGAATATCATGTAACAGATTTCAGTGAAAGGAAACCATGTACAATCAGTATTTTAAAATGAAATTTCTATATAAATAATCTGAAAATGATGATTCCAGTTACTCGTACCTGTATCATTCCACTTTGATGGCTGTTTGCCAGAGCAGATGAAGCTGCAGAGTTCCATGGGTGCCATAAATGAATTTAAATGGTTTCCATTACCAGTTAAGTCTAATCTAGCTACCTATTTAGACTCCATTCACCTATTTAATTGTTTATTTTCTGCCAGCTTTCCATTGTTCTAGAACAACTTTGTTTCCAGTGTTCAG